AATTGAATTGAATTGAATTGAGAGAAAGAATATTAAGCTTCGAGAAAAGAGGCTTAGAACGAGTTTGTGGAGGAGAAAAGGTGATCATTCGAATGGCTTTCTTTTGGAGTAGATAGAGGGGTTCAAGGTAGGAGGCATATGTAGATGCCCAGGTGAGGTTACAATAGTTGATATAAGGTAGAAAGAGGAAATTGTTTTTAGAGTGACCTTCAACACTAGAAATTAAATTCGTCCTGGATCACTTTGAATGGCATTTTTAAAAGCGCCATCTTAATCACATTGCGTCCTCATTGCGATATCTCGAACGGAAACTGATATTTCAATCCTTATTTCAGCTGACAGTCTTAATAACGCAAAATCAATACCAAAATGATTAACGACAGTGCTTCCACTCAATGCGAAAAAATAGCACAAGTATTGGATTGAGCCACAGCGGGTCGAATAGCCCTAATAAAAAGCCTTTACAGTTAAGAACGCAGACCACACCGATCTTTGACCCCTCAGAAAGATTATAGCTACTAAGGGTCTTCTACTTCAACAACATCTCGCAGAAATTTATGACGTCTCAGAACCTATATCCGCAAAGCATTTACCGCTAGCTCGGCACACAGCGCTTCCGCGTTGTAAAATGTGTAGCCATCACTGAGAAAGCTCCTCGATCAATTTTAGCTGGGGCATTGCAATTCGGTTAATTTGACAGTTACAGAAACAACAAAACTTCTTTTATAACTCCCAATCAGACAGACTCCCAATGGTAATCAAGTTTTATATACTGTGGTGGAATTTTGCCGGGAAAAAGTTAGCATTGACTTGGCGGACTAAAGCATCGAAACACACGTGCACGATAAGAAAATCGACTTCAATTACTAAAAGCGGACGAAAGCAAACATGCCAAAGATCACAAGAAGGAATCTACTTAATTTTGAACGAAACGATACAGATTAATCTGTCGGTAACTTGACGTTTCATTCCTTTTCTTTTCTGTTTACAGTAAGAGGAGGTTATTATTTTCATTATTTTCACCTAAATTTGGTCCAATGATTGGAACTCGGAGCGTCAAGTTGGTCCAAGTCTAATAGTAACAGCAGACGGACCATAGACATTTACAGCACAACCAAAGGAAGTCTTATTATTCAGTTCGGTTAACGAGGAGAGTGCGGGCATGCGCATATAAATAAGATGGTTTCTTTTTACGCTAGAATTAGGATATGAGTACTTTGTTTTCTACTCAACGGAACATTGAAACTGAAAAAAATAAAGGAATGAACCCGCATTCATGAAGGCACTAGAAGAAACTTCGGTGAAAAGCACGCTTTCATGACAAAGCTATTTAATAGATTCAGAATTACAACCAAGATAACAAAAACAAGGACTCGTTTTCTGTGGTATCGAAACAACCCCTTCTTCTTACCCTAAGTTCTTCCCAGATGAATTCCACCAACCAATGAAGAGGAGGTTTACATTGAAATGAAACTGATCGTAACTAATCACTGGATAATAACGAGACACGGAATGTTCGCGAACGTGGTCTACTGTGACTAAATCGAACAAGTGTTTATTTCATGAATGAATACTTTAATACAGAAAAACCTAAAGATTTCCTGCTCGTCTTAGCTCTTATTTAAGTCATCTATAGCACTGAACTTAAAAGTAAATTTGAATAACAATTCTTAGCACGGGTATAACTAGGTTTTGCGTGCGCAGTCGACCGACGAAGGCTAAGGAAATGAACCCTTTCTGGCAAATTATCAAATTGACTAATACATTAAACAACCACAAACCTGCTGTCTGTGACATTGAAGCAATGTCTCCTTACCTTAGTCAAAAGTCCGGCTTGGTAATCACACTTAGATCTTTGAGAAACTAATGAACTGAACTGGGAAAGGAGGAAACAATGAAATAATTCTTTACGTGTTGACGCAATAATATTATGCACTATGACCCAGTAGAAGAAGCTGATTGGATGGTGAGCTTTGTCCGGAAATTGATCTGCACGCGAGTAAATTTGAATTGCAAAATATCCTAAATTGCTCCTTGTGTGAGCCATGCATTAAGGAACCATGTGGCGTTTTTGATAGTTGTGTTCCTATCAATTGAATTCCAAAATTAATGTTACAGTTTTGCTGTTTAAGAGTAAATTTAGGCACAGAAACTGTTTTTCATGTCGTCTGTTGCTATGCTACGGATGGCAAGAATTGACATGGATTTGGAATGGAAGTCGTTTGATGTAACTCTGCAGGAGCATTTTGTCGAGCCCGCAGTACCTTTTTCGATTTCCAAAGCTAAGAGAAGAATATACAATTAAGGCACACGGAGTTACTTCCGCATTCTGGCTAGACCATTTTAACGCTTATAGGAGACATTTTGCTTTGTCACGCAGCTGGATTTAAGTAATGTTTTTTTCGATCCAGTTTCAAAGCGTTATACAGAACGGAGGACGCTTCCTTATAAACACAGTCCCAGCTACTTACAAACTGTCTTACGGGCGTAGCCTATACGTAACAGGCGCTGGTTTTTTTTAGGGCGAAAGGAGAATATCAAGGACGCGCGCGCGCGCGGGAGGGAAGTGTGGCCCGCCCGCGTAACCTGTCATAACCCGCCCAGTAAATCACTTGATATGATTACGAATTCTAGTTGAGATTTCGTTCCAAAAACAAACAAACGAGCAATACTTATAAAGCTTAAGGTAATTTAACACGAAAAAGCCAAGGTTAAAACTACTTCATCTCCTTGTTAAAGTACTGTATAAAAAACGCAGACGACTTCTTGTGTCCACTTGGTAAAAGCACTAGGCAGTTATATTGCGGCGACATAAATGACAAGAAAAACGAACAAGCCCACGCCACAGAGGAGAGAGGAGATATTCAACCACATAGCAATTCTTGAGTTTCGTCTTGCGCCTTCGTAATCACCTCCATCATATGCACTATCCACCTGGAAATAATAATGATAATAGTAGATATCCAGGTCAGAAAACGGAGATTACACAACTTTGCAAGGCTAGGTACGATACAGAAAGAGGAGAGGAGGGATTCTAAAGATGCATTTAAAACTGAAATTGTTGTGAAAGATTTCGCCAAATGGTAAATACCGTACAAAAAAACAGGACGTATGAAATATAATTACTTGTCAAGAACGAGGAGTGATCAATAAGCCTTCGAAAAAAAGGAAAAAAGAGAAAATGCAAATAAGGAAAACTTAGCGATCCAAAAATAACAGGGTAGGATTAATGTCACATTAATGTTACATTGGCTTAGGCGGTTGAGCTGGATTTCTGAAGAGAGATGGCAACAAAATGGTTCATAACCTGCGAGCAGGCTCACTTTGCGATTTCAGGGAAAATTTTTGGCAGCGGAAACGCCATCCCGCAAGAAGAATGGACCGAGGAAAGCTGAATGGCACTTTTATAGACATTATCCTCACTCGTCTCGTTGATCTCAAGTGCCACACAGACCAAGCAATGACAAGTATTCAAAACGGCCGCCACCGTTTGAGCATTTACCGAAAACTCACATTTCAAGTTAAAAAATTGGGAAAAAACAAGGCGTATGTCACACTTGAGAATGATCATTTAATGAAACATTTTAAGCTTTTGATACGTTTTATGTCGTTTTTGTTACTTTTGTTTTGATTGTTTGCTTATTTTAGAGAAAAAGTGCAAAAAGAGCGCGTAGTTGTGCTAAACAAAAAATGGTCGAACTCTTGCCATTGATGACGTCTTAACTCGTACCCATAGCAACCAACTTTTCATGAAAGAGTGACAATAACTACAAAGGTACTCAAGATGGAGGTTGCAGAGCCAGCGCGGGGGAAACTGGAACCACCGCTCAATGCTTTACTAGAGTAATCAACGTAAAAAGAATGACAGACTTACCATGCTACTGAAGACAATGGCGGCTAACCCGATCGGCCAGGCACAGAACAAACAGGTCAAAATGGACAAGGCCAGCCAGTTCTGTGGACGAGGAGTCATCGGCAAGATGACTGTTGGGCTGGGCTAATAAATGAAATACAATGGAGATGCAGTTAGTATAATTTCCATCACAAGATTCCTATATTCAAATAAAGATTAGCTGTTACCGATTTTATTGGAAAATAACTACATCTGAACGTGCAGTGAATTTTGGAAGCAAGGACCAACGTTACAAAAAAGAAGGACCCGATCCTAATAAAGAATCTCATCAGCTATAAGTTGAAATATCGAACAAAAGAAGCATGGCTGATTTTACAGTCCCGAATATATATTTTTTGTTACCGATATTGTATGTAAGACCCTGAAGGAGGAAGGCCGTGCCTTGCGAAATATTGGTAAGAAAAATGTATATTCCCGACTGTAAAATCAGCCTTGCTTCTTTTATTCGATGTTTCTGCTGTATACAGCCCATTGCATCCTTTTTTTAACTCTTTAATATTTCGCGAAAAAAAATAGACAGATAAAAATCTAAGCGAAATCATTCGTTTAAGAAGCTATATAACACACCCTACCCAGCTGCGTTTAACGGATGAGAAATTTTCTTCCTGACATCTTCATGTCATAAGGAATTATAACAAAACTAGAACACTCGCAAGAAAAAATTCATAGCAGGAGCCTTCTTCCTATTTCCATTGGGCACGCTCATGACGTCATCAAATTAATACCTCTTCAGTTCTTATGATCTAAGCATTCCTCTTAACTGCACTCATACAACATTATTTAAAAACCGTACCTGCATAACCACCGTTGTTGAACTTTGCTGCGTCACTGGGTACGGTTGTGGATAACCCATGGGTTGTCCAGTAAAAGGCTGGGGGCCTGGGTACCCCGGCTGTGCATTATATGGTTGCTGTGGGTAACCAGGCTGGGCTGGGTAACCAGGCTGGGCTGGGTAACCAGGCTGAGCTGAGTAACCAGGCTGAGCTGAGTAACCAGGCTGAGCTGAGTAACCAGGCTGAGCAGGCAAGTTAACTTGTTGTGCTGGATATGGTGGGGGCGACACTTCCTCTTCAAGAGGGAGATAGTT